ACAATGGCACATTTTTAAGCATATTATCTGTTCTTCATCTCTACAAAATTATGTGATGTAATATACACACTGCCTTCTGTATCTTTGAAAATATCCCATCCCAAGAAGAGAGCTGCTATATTCCTTGGCTGGATTATAAATGCAACAAATTACTGTTCTTATCCCACAGGCTCCTCACTGTCATTTAAAAAATATTTTTTACTGAAAGTCAATGCCTTTTACCAACTTTCAGAGAATTTAACATGTTTATTTGAATACGTAAAATAAGAGTAAGAAATTTTTTTCTGACTTGAGTAGTATGTGACTTCTAATAAATCTGGAAGTTATGAAAAATGGCTTTAATATTTTTATGCTATTTCTGGATTTCCTAAGGTTGTCCCATGTCTGTTTTTTCCCCTGTGTCCATGTGTAGCCACAGAGAGTGCAAACACATCTGGAACTTATAAACACGGAAATTTGACTTTTAGAAAATGCATGATGCCATTTGAAGATGCTATTCTTACAGTTTAACACCTGCTTTTCTGGTTTTGGAAAACGTCTGTGTAGTGTCTGAGGAAACACCTCTTCTAATTGTTGGGTTTGGGATATTCTGAGACAGTTAGAAAAGCAGGCTTATATGAATGTAAATGTTTGAGATTAGACCCTCTACAGCAATAAGAAAGGCCTCTTCTGTTTATTCCTTAAAGATATGAGGTGATGTTTCTCCTGTCTACTTGCTCCCACAAATGATCTACCTAACACACAAATGTCAAAGTGCTCTTTTCCTATCCCTGCCAATACCTTTCCTTCAGCTTCTGTGTATTAGTGTGACTGTTGCTGATGAACATGAGGAAGAACTCAGTTCAAACCTTCCCTTCTGCTTCCAGGTTGCTGTTCACACCTCAGAGATGTTGTCCCCAGGGAGGCAGACCTGTCACCTCAGCATTCCCTGGCAGTAATCACCTGTGAGTCAGCAAGACCCATTTAGCACTCCCCAGTTGAAGCACCTCCTGAAAATACAGTGGGATGTTTGAGGCAAATACTGTCAGCCTCCTAAAATACTGTAGGCAAGTTCAGATCCCTTTCCCCCTGCCACTACTCTGTAATTATTTATAATATGCTATACATGACAGGCTGGTAAAATACACCCAGCCAAAACCAAAACAAATGGAAGTGTTGCCAAGTTAGCAATGCAAAAAGGGAGGAAGTGTAAGACAGAAGATAAAATGGTGAAGCAGATTAGTGACCTATCAGTCTGTGACTAGTGCATTGGTTTGAATGAAGAATTTAAGCATGATGTTTGTTAATCCTTATGAAAGGTAATCTCAATAAATAACATTTGTTAATAATTAAAAAAAAAAAGAAAAAATAAAGACACTATAACATTTAATACTTTGGGGATCTTTTAAAATACAAGTTCCTCAGGATCTAACTTTTACAAATTATGGCTCAGAAGTATCCAGCAAATAATTCTGATGGTTATTCCTGACAGTCAGTCTAGTTTTACCAAGAGTGGCTTGACACAACCAAGGAAACTGAACTGATGTCAAAAGAGCTGCTTTTACATTTCATTGCTATTACAGCTGTGAGTATGTTTGGCTTCTCAAAATATAACCTTTCATTGAAAACTGTGGACATTATTTATTCAGCATACATTCATGATAGCTGTCAGTGACTTCTTGCACACTGACAAGTCCAAAAGACACTTGTGTGTCATTTTGTGACTGCTACTCTGTATTCCCAGCTGCTAAATTATTTACACCAACAAATCCTAATCAGACTCTGTAATTTTCATATTGCTGTGAGAAGCCAAGTATCAATATAGGAAGATAGAAGCAGGGAATAGGAAGGAGGGGAGAAAATCTTGACACCACGTTGTTTAGCATATGTGATTGCACATTTTAGGTTTTGACAGTATTTCCATGAAAATGACTGATGGAGAAGCAGCATTTCAATGGACATTATTTCAAGATTTTAATGAATAAGTATTTTAAAGTGAGGTTGGAGAAAGGAGAAAATAGTTTGGCATGAGGAGGAAGGCTACAGAGACAAAGGTGGGAGAAAACAGTGTCATGAACTTAAAGGTTAAGGTATTTAGAAAAGTTGAGAGAGTAAGAGGAGGGTATAAAGAACTGTTCCTGTGTTATGTAGGTAAATCTGATTATTTTTTCTGTTTAACTGGGAGAATGTCTGTCAGGTTTTCTGGGTGATTCCTGAAGGCAAATATCAATACAGTCAAACCATAGAGATGAGTACTGAAGAACAAGACTTGTGTGAGGAGGAGCTGCTGTGGGGACCAGCGGGCTTGGCTCACACAGACAGAACACTCCAGCACATCTCTCCTCTGCCACTGGGGCTGCAGGAACCCACAGCAGCTTTGTGATCCTAGGGGAAGTACAGATACCCTAAAGGGAAAACCCAAGGCTTCTTCCTGTGCTGCCCATGCAACTACCAGCACTCAATTCCTGGCTCCACACCTTGCTCCTCTTCAGCTCTATTAGCTCAGAATCAGACTTTCAGTGACATGCTGCTGAGCCAGTTTGTCTGCCCAGGCTTACAGCAGTCCTGTGGCTGCTGTGTGATATTGCTTTGGTCTGAGTTCATTGATTAGTTGGTTACTTTCTAGTTTGGCTCAAAAAAGAGTGTCAAGTAGGATTTTGTCCGTTTCAGGTTTTTTTTCTTTGTGCCATTCTAGTTTTCATTCAGAGCAAGAGCATTCAAATCTCAGACAGAGATTTTTTGACTATAAAATTAGGTGCATTTCTGTCCTGTAGCTTTTGCAGAAAGAATATCTGGTTAATTATTTTCCAAGGTGCTTAAGGTCCCTAAGGAACCTCTATAGTCTTGTGGGGAGGTAAGATTATGTATAAACCCATAGAAAAGGCAAACAAGGCATGCAAAAATGCCCCTTTCCCTAGAGCCACATGCTGGCTCTCTGCTGAGGATCCCGGAGTATTAAGACACCATTTGAAGTCCTGATAGTCTCCAAGCTGGATGTCCATAAATCTGCTCTGCCTCCAGACTGCTCTGGGCCAGCTGAAGCTCTGTTCTGCATGAACTGGTCCCTGTCCCTGTGCCCAAGGGCTGCAGCCTCAGCTCCCCAAAGTCTACAGCATCAAGATCCCAGTGGGTGCTTCTGGGAAGGCATAATCAGACCCCTCCACCGAGCTGCAGTTTTCATCCCACAGGAAGAAAATCAAAGGTTGTTTATTCAGTTGATCTATACATTTCTACTGTTGTGTTGATTATACCTTTTACATGGTAAAATAAATGATTAAAAAAACCGATCTGCATAGAAGGATTAGGATGGAAACAAAAAATAGCTACCTGGGAGCCTGAAAAACTTGTTTCTTTGTACATCTACAGTGAGGTTTAAAATGAGAAGTGACATAAGTGACATTTTATTTCAGAATTCCCCATCTTCTCCAAATTCTTTATGTGAACTTGTGAAACAAACTCTGGTCCTGAAGTGTGATGATCAAGAGTCACCTACACACAATTTACATAGTCACCCAGACAGAGAGGGGAAAACCTCTTTTGTTCTGAGCACTCAGCTGTAGACATCTTGATAAGAAACAAGTTTATATTTGAACTTGTAAAACTAATTTCATCGGGAAATCAAATTACCAAGATGACATAATTCTCTGGTTAAATACCAGCATACAAAAATTAAATCCAAGAAGAAGTGGGAGAGAAATGTAAACCTCATTTATTGAAAACTTGTGTTATAGTTCTCTTTGCTATTTCAACATACTTAATTAAGTTTCTCTCCCTCTGTTTTTGTATTTTGTATGTCTCTCCTGTTCTTGATGAAGCCTAAACTGCAATACTTTCAGTCCTAAGGCAGAAGAGCTTTCCAGCCTAGGAGACAAGTGACAGTGAGATGTGCCAATCTGTCAGTATGGGAGCACTCAAGGTCACAGACGGGGCGGTGCTGGGGACAGGACCTGAAGCTGGAGCATGCGGTGCTTTCAGTGGGCGTGGGAGGTGCATGCAACACCTTGAGCAACGCTGGGAGCATTTATGGCGTTGCTGAGAACCTGAAGGGAACAAAGTGTACAGAGAACTTTTCCAATCACCTGCCTGTGGAGCAGGGTGCCCCGGGACTGGGGGACAGGGCTGCCCGCACATCTTTGACTACAGAGCAAGACCGAAGCCCCAGCCGTGCTGTGGGGCAGCAGGTACACCCCTGAAACACCAACTTCGTGGGACTGACGTTCTTCCCAAAACGGCTGGCTGAATACTCCGCGATTAAATGTGGAATATGGAATAAAACCGTAACTCTGGAAAACCTCCACGTATTTCATTCCCGCCGTCGCTTTATCATCCACTATTGCCAATTTCAAGAATCACGTTTAAAAAACAAACCATAGTAGTAAAACAAGCCGTCGTCTTTCACAAAGACGCATAATCTGCTTAAGATTGTTCTCCCATTCATCGGGGATGTTGAGACGTTCAGTTCACTCCTCCCTCCTCCTCCCGAGGCGCCCCAGCGGCGCTCGGAGCATCGCGAACCGCTCCGGCGCTGGCAGCTGCCGGCCGCGAACCCCGACACGGAGCGACAACCCCTCCTCTCCTTCCTCCTCCCTCCTCTTCGCCCCCATCCCTTCCCTTCCCAGCCCGGGTCCGCCTCCGTCACGGCCGCGCCGGGCGCCCGGAGCGGCGGCCGCTGCCCGGGGGCGTCGGTGGGCGCTGCCCGCCCGCGGCCGCGCGCCCCGCCTCCCCCGCCGCCCGCCAATCAGAGTGGCGGCTGCTGCGGGCCGCGCCCCGCCATTGGCCGCCGCCGCTGTCAGTCAGGGGCCACCCCCGCGGAGGGGCGAGGCGGGCGGGGGGTGCCGGCTCCGAGCGGGGCCGGGCGGCGGCGGCGGCGGCGCTGCGGTTGCGCCATCTGTCAGAGCCCCGGTGGGAGGGAGGGAGCGCCCGAGCCGCGCTCGCCCGGGCGGAGCGGAGCGGAGGCGAGGCGGCAGCGGCAGCGCGGACAGCCCGTGCGAGCTCATCCCTGCCTAGGCTGCGGCTGTGCCGCCTCACGGAGCCGCCGCCTCCGCGCCCGGCCGCGGCTCGGCGCAGCGCGTCCGCCCCGGGAGAGGCAACGGCGCCCGGAGCGGCGCCCCTCGCTGCGGGCGGGCGGGGGCAGCCGGCGGAGGAGCGGAGCGAGGAGGATGCGAGTGCGGCGGCGCCGCCCCGGCCCCGCGCTGCGCTGAGCTAAGCCGAGCCGTGCCGAGCCGCCTCAGGTAACGGAGGGGCCGGAGCCCGCCCGGAGGAGCGGGGGCGGGGGGATGCATGCATGGATGGATGCATGGATGGATGGATGGATGTTGCGGCGGGTCTGTTTCCTTTGTGCGCCCGAGCGCTGGCGGGGTGCGGGGGCTCCCGGCGAGGGGAGGCGGCCGCGCTGCTGCGGGTCTCCCCCACGCACGAACACGCGGACCCCGCGCCCGCCTCCCCCGCCCGGAGCGCGGCCGCAGCGCGGGCAGGGCCGGGGGCAGCGCCCGTGACCGCCGTGCGCGGCCCCTGCGTGCCCGGGGGTCGCCCGTGCCGCTGTCCCCCGCCCCCGCGACACCGGCCGGGGAGAGGGGAGGGGGCGCAGCACAGGGACGTATTTGTTGTCGCCGAACTGCGAAAAAGGGGAGGGGGGGAAATAAATAAAAAGACCTTCTCTCCCTCTGAAATAAATCGTATAGGATTTGCGCGTCTGTGACAAAGGCCTCTTTCAGGGAAGAAAGAAGGGACGCACAAAATGCCCAAGGGTGGTAGGATGTGAAAAGAGGCTTGTTTCTTGTGTCTCCCCTAGAGCCTCTCTGTTCCTTCCCAGACGAGGCCGCTGATCTGGTGCCAGTTCCTTTTCAGCTACATTTGAGATTAGGGAGAGATACCAAACGCCACACCATGGGTGCCAGCGTTTTGCTGCGTCTGCAGAGCCACAGTGTACGTGTCGCCCGACCTCCTTAATAATGCTCAGTTTGGCCTCTGCTTCCTCGGGATCTCGCCCGATTTCTGCTCTGTGTGGGTTCTGCGTGTGCGTGAGCTCTGGGAGAGGGCTGGCCAGGGAAGGGGGTCACTTTGTGGGAACAAGCCCATGATACCTCGGTCCCTTCAGCAGTGACGGGGAGGGCAGGGCTGAGTAGGTGCTGGTGGAGAGGGTTTTGGCTGAGTGGAAAGCAACCCTCTGCAGTTGCTCATCCGTCACTCTGATATGCTCTGATTCTTAAAACGCTAAATAACGAGTGACCGGGGCAGACCGGGCTTTTGAAATGCAAGCACAAGACTGGGAACGCCTTTGAGACCTTGTCATTTTCCTCCTTGTATACAACCTCCTTAACTCCCACATCCTTCCTTCCACCATCCCTGCAGCTGTAACACTTTTTAGTATCTCCTTCCCACACCCCTTTTTGTTTTCTTTTCTTTTTTCTTTTTTCCTTTTTTTCTTTTTGTCTTGATGTGTTTTTAACTAGCGTTCTGGAAGCTGAGAACGGTTGCAGGTGAAGATCTGTTTGTTTATATGCTGGTGGAGGAAGTGTTTTCATTAGGGTTGACTCGCCTTGTCTCCCATGAGGAGGAACAGTAAGCTAAAGGGACACTGTCAACTTGAAATCTAGAGAATGTGCGTGATGAATGGAGAGCTGTGTCCAATATTACACCCACCGTTGAGCTCCCTGCTGGAGATCTGTGGTTTTTATAAGCCTGTCTTCTGACTGTGTGGGTTGGTCATGCAGTGAAGGAGTAAAAACACACTTCAAACAAAGTCCTGTTAAGTGAACAAAGGAGTGCAGAAGAAAAATACCAGAGTGGGAAGGGAGGGAAGGCAACATCTCCAACTTCTCAGTTACATCCACTGCAGCCACTGCTTGACCCAGTGGGAAACTGGAGGGGCTACAGTTAATTTTTACAGGGGCACATTTATTTAGTATCACTAAACTGGAAAGGTTGTTACTTTGGCCCCAGTGTTTCAGGAGTTTTCAGCACCTTGATGTGTGTACTCAGAAAACTAGTAGCACTTGATGGATGTCAGTAGGTCAATGTCTTTTCGCAATATAAGAACAATTTTAGGAATGGTATCTCTCGTGAAAAAAACATTGGGTTCCTTCTTGAGCCCTTTTTACCCCATAAAGTTATAATTTTGATGAAAAAGAGAAAGATTGCCTAATTAATGCTTTAGAAATTTGTATTTTGCTGCTAGTAGGCTGCAGATTTGTTGAAATGTTCAGATGCTTCTTAGAGGGTGCCTGTAAGCATCCTTCCACTCCACCTCCAACAAATTACTGCCTCATCTGCGTGGCTTGTCTTTGGCAAAAGAAACAATTTCCAATATAAAGTTGTCTGATGGTAGGCCACTGGCTGTGGTGTTTTGTGGTTTATGCTTCAGGCATGTTGTTTCAGAAACTCTGTGTTGCCTGCTGGTGAAAGACATAGTGGCATAAAATACCAGTTAAGTATAAAACTCTGAACAGCCTTCTCTGGAAATTATTTTGGTGTCGAGTAAATACATGTCTTCAGTGAGGGACAAATGACTTTGGCATATGGGCATGGCAGACAGTGTAAGCCAGAAATGAATAAGGTGGTGTAAAGAAGTTGGATATTAATCATTTTAACAAGTGTCTTCAAAAGTTAGGACCCCGTGGTAAATTTCTATTGAGTAAGAAAATGAGTATTCATATGAGTAAGAAAAACATTGCTGAGGAACTTTTTATTTTTGACAGACTACAACAGATTCCACAATACCTTGATGTGAAATAGCTAAATGGTGTCATCTGAAATCATGAGTGGAGTCTGGTATGGTGAGGGCCTCTGTGAGCACTGGCCCTGTGGCTTAGCTGAATACACTAATCTGGACATGGTGTCATTAACACTGATTTACAGTGTAATAAAATTGTGGCTAAGGTGAGTGAAAACTGCCCAACACATTTGGGATGATTTCACACTGTAATATGGTAATATGGTACATCTACAGTGATGTTTATATATGTTTAATTATGTTAAGGAAAGTATAGAGCTGTTTGCCATCTCATGCCCAATTACTTTTATTTAACCAGCACCTTCACTCTTCTGTCTTGCTGCATTACTGTGCTTTTTACTTCAGGGAGAAAAAGAGTTGGAGGCATGTGCTTTCCCTTCGTCCTTCTCTCTGGGGTGCACATTAATATTTGATTCAAACTTGTTCTGTAAAGTTCTGCTTAATTCAGTTTGGGCACTACTTTGAATGTATAATAATGGTGTTTGTTTGTGTCATGGACAGTGCTTTGTAATTTGCTTTATGGGCAAGTCTGCTGCTGGCAGTGTGTATTGTCAAAGTGACCTTCCTTTCAGAGGGAGAAAACCAGTAACTCCTGGCCCTCTCCCACCCCTGCAGCTCCCACAGAAGTGTCTTCACAAGTTCTTTGACCCATTACTCCAAAACCAGGACTTGAACCGACAAATCTGGTTCACCCGAGCAGTCTCATTGAAATCCAGCAATTAAGGATTCTTTTGGTGACAAAAGGCCCACGGATCTGTATTGTGCAAGTCAGCCATTTACTTGAGGCGAAACCCACAAAAGGGTTTGCGTGCCTCCGTGAGGAGCACCCTGAGCTGTGATCCCTGGAGATGTGGCTCTCCTGAACCAGGGATGTGGCTGTTTGCTGTGCCATGCTGAACACACTGTGAGCCTCAGAGCTGCCTTCCCAGCAGCCAGGGAAATGCTGCCAGGGCCACCCAGTGCAAAGTGCCTCAGAAGGAGGTGAAACTTCAGGGCTGCATCTGCCTGCCTGCTGGGTGTCTCACTCGGTACCATGGTGGCTTAAGGTTAGCTATTAGAGGTTGAAAACCCTAACCTTCTTTTGGTGAGGTAGTAATAATTTATATATATATTAAAAAAAGAAAACACACCAAAAACCCAAACAAACAAGAACCCCTGACAAATTACAAAACCCAAACAAACAAACAAAAAACCCCAACCAGCTTTGCATTTCAGTAGACGATAAACATGCAGGTGTAGAAGAATTGGGATTTCTAGCATTTGCATCCTGTCATGGATTTTGCCCTTAGTGCCTGACTTCCAGACAGAGAAATGACAGGTGCAGATGAAACATGAAAGGCTGAAGCTGTTTCAGTGCATGTGAGATGTGTGTGGCTCTCCTTAGGGAGCGAGAGCCCCGTTAGCACTGTGCTCCAGAGCAGCCTCACCTGCGGCCTCGGGCAGGGCTCTGGTTTCGGGCAGGCAATCTGCCTCCTGCTTTGACAGTGGTCAAGTGAAACCTGTCTGTGGGAGGTGTCCTTGAGCCCTGAAACTGGGAACAGGCCTGACCTTACAGGAGTTGCAGTACCCTGTTGCTGTCCTTACCACTGGCTGCAGGAAAACAATCGCATTTTGTAGAGCTTTTTTGGAACTTTAGTTCACTTGGAACGGAAACAAAATTGAACGGTATCACTGCTTTTACTGGGGGAGGTGAAAAATCATATTATTTCAAGTCAGTCAAAACATGATGCCTCATCTTGCTTCTGACTGTTTTAAATGGTAACTTGCTGTGAAAGCAAGGATTTCAACTCGAAATACTGCCACCTGTTTGGAGCAAAATAGAACCTCTGACACCTTGACTTTTTACTGGAGTATAAAATCAGCAGCAGTTTTACAGAGCTTTAAGGTGTCAATAGAACTAAATCATCTGGCACAAAATGACTGTCAGATTTTTCCTGACCAGCTCTATTCCTTGTATACCATGAATTTGAATGAATGTTTTTAATCTGAAAAAGCTATCAAAAAAGATAGCCTGGCAGTATCAACTGATTTGAATTAGATGGTCCAGGTTAAATCTTTTTTTCAAGAAGGATGAAGACAGCAGATTAACTTTAAACTTGCCCTTCCTAAAATGCAGCTCCTTTTTCGTATCAAAGACATCCCAGTTTGAATGGATGATGTTGGTTGTGACAAGGTGCTATGGGGAGAGGTTAGCCCACATTTTCCTGCCCAGCTTCTCCTGATTCAGAGAAGTCTTGCATCTCTGAAGGTTGCCTCTCCCACACTATAATTTTTTTAAGTATCTGTGAGTAATAAGTCCTTCTTGCTTAAGGCAGAAACCTAAATTTTTAGAGCAAGTTCATTGATGTTCATCGTACTGAGATGTGGTTTAATGTGGTGAACTCTACAAGGCAGCGGCAACGTGAGAATGTTTTGATGAGAAAGGGGAAGGTGACCCTTCTGTGCTTATTTGTTTTGCTCTGTTTTGGTGGATTTTTAGGAGGCAGCAATGACTGGAGG